TATGCATTATAAATCCCGCTTGAATAACAGATCTTTATTTGAAATCACCCAAGATATACGAGGTGATTTACAGAATAGAAAATCCCCCCCCCCCCCAAATAAAGAAAAAAATGTGCAAAAAAAAATTAAAGAAAAAAGACTGAATAATTGGGTGCTAAAATGTAAATTTTTTTATATAAAAAATTAAAAATAAGGTAAAACGAATGAAATATTGAATTGGTCAATTGATGTACGTAAGCGATGCAATTTCTGTACGTTCGTAAGCATCAGTATTTTGCTCCATAATCACGATCTTGCATGAGGAGTTAACAAATCTTGACGTATCATTTCGTCCCCTATTGCAGTCAAAGAGCATCAGTATTTTGCTCCAAAATCACGATCTTGCATGAGGAGTTAACAAATCTTGACGTATCATTTCGTCCTCTATTGCAGTCAAAGTCAACCTTGCATCCTTCTCATGCATTGTGTCCGAAATGATTACACATTACAACACTGATAAAACAGTTCGTGACAGAGGTCAGACCAAGATGACCATTCACAACAAATAGCTCTGCAATAGTGGAAAACAAATTGAAAACAACAAATCAGAAAAATGACCAAAATGACTTTAAAATAATAGCCAATTAAATGAGTCGAAGGTCAACTTTGGTAAATCTGAATGCAAATATATTTGCTGCAACTCATTTAAAGCCTTCTTCTCTAATGAGAAAGGTAAATATGCTAGATATACTTACTGGAGGTGTGATGAGATGATTGAAGCTGTTAATTTTCTCCTTGATAATATTTATGTACGCTTCGGCAACAAAGTTTATCTACAGGTTGTAGGTATTCCTATGGGCACTAATTGCGCCCCTTTAATAGCAGACTTGTTTTTGTACTGTTATGAATAACAGTTTATGACCAAACTCAGTAAAGACCCGTCTAAATTGCATTAAATTGATAAATTCAACAACACTTACCGTTATCTTGATGACATTTTTTCGTTAAATAATCAAGAATTTTCTCAATATACAGCCGAAATTTACCCAAAGGAACTTACTTTAAATAAATCAAATTTAAACAGTAACAACTGTCCTTTCCTAGATTTAGATATTTCGGTTTTACACAGGAAACTCCACACTAAAATTTACGACAAAAGGGACGATTTTTCGTTCCCTATTGTTAATTTTCCCTTTTTGGATGGTGATGTTCCTTTGTCACCATCTTACGGTGTTTATATTTCACAACTCGTTCGCTATGCCCGTGTCTGTTGTGACGTTTTTGACGAACGTAATCTATGTATTACTGGTAAATTATTAAGCCAGGGATTTCGTTACCACAGATTACTTAAAACCTTTACTAAATTCTTCCACAGATATAAAGATTTGGTTTTGAAGTTTGGTTGTACCTGTAGAAAACTTATTTCAAACGGGATTGCACATCCTCATTTTTACGGCAATATTGTTTACCGTGCCCGGAAATTTAGAAACGATCCTGGTAAACTTATCGATCCTTTAAATAAACTTATTCTAAAAGGTTACCAATTCAACACTGTAATTAGATCATTAAATATTGTTTTTTTTATTGTTACTAATATTGATTTTGTTATTAGTAAATTAAAAGCAAACTAAATATTATTGTTATATACATATACACATTCATGGATCTACAATCTGTCGATACCTGTATCTTTGCATTGCACAAGGTCATGTTTTTTCTCTGTCTGCTTATGAGGTCTTTACACTAAATCCATTGGATGTTGGATGTGTACGGATTGATAATTTAGTCTTAGATGCATGACTTTTTTTTATTAGTTGTTAGTGGCTTTGCACTAGGTGTCAGTAACTGCGAGTACTCTCAGATCTGTACTTAGTGTCTTTTTGTTGTTTGGATGTACAAGTAACCGGCCACGTCCACTTGTATTTGTAGTATTTGTATTTTTATCCATTTGATGAGTTAAGCCTATTTCAACTGATTTCTATAGTTCGTTCTTATGTTGTACTGTTACACCACTGTCCCAGGTTAGGGGGAGGGTTGGGATCCCGCTAACATGTTTAACCCCGCCACATTATGTATGTATGTGCCTATCCCAAGTCAGGAGCCTGTAATTCAGTGGTTGTCGTTTGTTTATATGTTACATATTTGTTATTCGTTCATTTTTTGTACATAAATTAGGCCGTTAGTTTTCTCGTTTGAATTGTTTTACATTGTCATTTCGGGGCCTTTTATAGCTGACTGTGCGGTATGGGCTTTGCTAATTGTTGAAGGCCGTATGGTGACCTATAGTTGTTAATTTCTGTGTCATTTGCTCTCTTGTGGAGAGTTGTCTCATTTGCAATCATACCACATCTTCTTTTTTATATTTACTACGTCTTCGGTTTCAGATTTGTAAGATCCATAATTCATTGCAATTTAAAACTTCAATTGTTTGGTAAGGGCTATTTGACTGATACTCGTCGACGGATAACATTGTCTTTGAATTTTTGGGGGTATAGCATTTTTTGTTCACTACCAATAAATGTTAAATATATTTTAATATTCTCAAAAATAGTTGATAAATAGGCAATATTTTATATTTTGTTGGACAGTTGGTCTATCAATGATAAAATCTAGTTCAGGAGGTCGATTTTTTTTCTATTAGTTTTCATAACTCTCTTACAAAACTACTTTTAACAAATTACTACAGCTACCTTAATTAGATTGCAGTACTGGTACCTCATATCTACAAACCAAATACATGTAATGTCACCCTATCTACTGATTTATTATCTCAGATATCCAAATTATTACAAAGAATTAAAATAATTTCCCCCCTGTTTGGTTTTAAACAGTTTGATAAATGTATTATTTGTGCAGTACAGTGACAGATTCGGGGAGGGGAAAGGGGTATGGGTTGTATTACTGGGTAGTGTCGTCATGCATATGTCTTTGATACAGAAAAACAATCTATCGTGTCGAAATCATGATACAGAAGAAAATTTCCATATGCACGATTAGAAAACAAGAATCATTTACAGAATAAACATTTCTTACTGGATAGAGAAAAATGGCCAATAGAATTACAGAATATGGAAAAATAGAACACGCTCCCCCCACTCCCCTTTTCCCATTATCAAGACCCTCATATATCTTTGTGACGGATAGTTTTGTTTGTTCTATTTAACTGTTTTTATTTTCGAAAAAAATATTTGTACAAGGTGTGGTTAATAAATGTAATGGACAATACCGGTATATGCCATGACTTCTCACACGACGTCGTACTTTCATTTTCTCTTCCTGTGCAATATATTAAACTCATTATGAGGAGCAATTTTTATGACTACTTGCATAATTGTTAAATCGTATTCAATTCTGTGTCAAATTTATATATCTTGAATATTAAAAACAGATTAAAATTATTTACTGGAATTCATATTGATATAAAAATATCCAGTTTGTTGGTTTTTTTTTTTTGTTTATTTGTAGATCTGAGAAAAAAGCAGCTCTGTTTCACTTTAATAAACAATTGGCTTAAAATTGTCACATGGTGTTTTCTTATGTCGTCTGAATACATAATGTATGTCATTGATCCGTAATATGTTTATTTGGCATACCATACTCGATAGAAGTGCGGACGTGAAAGAAAGCACTCTTCACGTAAACGTCAACGAAGGTTACATTCCAAGGAGATTACATTTCGAAGATTTCGCCATTTTTAAAACATAATCATTAATGATCATTAATACGTGTATCTTAATCAGAAGTTGTATGAGAAATATAAAAAGTAATATATATGTATAACAAGCTACGGGTTAATAACTCAAATATTTCAAGATTTTTCTCTTATAATTTCAAACAATTGTCCACAAATTATTTGTGACTTTATATCCTGTGACTTTTTGTCAGGACTGTGACTTTCTGTTCATTTACCGATGCTTACATAATGCTACTTGTCATTTTATCTGTCATAGATTCTTTTTATGTTTTACAGTGTTGCTAAAAAGATAAAACCTGCGTTTTTGCGAAGTTAGGTACACTTCAAATATCTATTTTACCGCTTACATCACTGAGAAAAAAAATTCTCAGCTAAGAATATTCTTAAAGTTGAGAATATTTTTTTATGGCAGAGAAAAAAGTTCTTATTCTTAGCTGAGTAATATAATTCATTCTGAGAATATTTTTTTACTCAGAAAATAAAAGTTTTATGGCGCCGGGGCCAGGATGTTGCTAACCATCGTTTCTTTCTCCAAAAAAATAATATCTTATTGACGCGCAGACAAAGGCGCACATAATATCGGATTAAATCAAAATGAGGAACTCAACTATGAATACAATTTTTAAAAAACCTTTATGCAATCATATTGGACATGATGCTATTTTAATAACTTCCTTGTGCTTAATCACTGGTGCTTTTTTGAAGAACAATATAAGTCATTGATGTGTAAAAACTTTGGCGTTATTAATTGTTTGTAAAGAAATGAATTTTCAGAAATATAACCTTTTACTTCATGAAAGCACATCCAATGGGGCCTTTGTGGGTTTCTAAATTTGTGAAAATTTTATCATACTTCGTACCCCGAAAATTCAACCACATCTGTGATAAAATATCTTAGCTTCGAAACAAGCCATCTTACAACAACGTTTACAATATGGACAGAAGAATGGAAGAAAATGGATATCTGAAATGAATTGCGCTTCTTGTCCAATATACTCCTAAAACAATCATTGTTCTATTTTATATTTCTTTGAAACTTCACCTAAATATGACGACATATATCTTCTTTCGTCAGAATGGATAAAAAAATTACACAAGTGTCGTTTCCACGCAACTGAGATCCATCTTGTTACTGATGTTTTTGGTTTTCTGTGTAGTGTTTTGTGAGCTGTTATTTTCATTTAATTTTTTCTTTGGTGGTATCTCTTTGATCTTCTCCCTCTTTATTTACCATTGCAAGAACTGATGGATCAATACTTAAAAGACAATCATCATCTGTTTTAAAGAAATAGTTGAAACTGAACGTCAAACTATAAAATTGACTTGCCTTTTAATAAATTCCTCCCAAAAGTGTGTTTCTCCTGGTGTCATCACCATAACTTTTCCGTTTTTAAAATCTTTATCTTCCGTCCATTTTGGCTTGTGTAGAAAATCAAAAGGTTTATCGGTCGTTGGTGTTATATTAGTTTCTTCGTGAATTGTTCCTTCTGGTGTTTTGTCTAGCCAAGTGACTGTTTTCCTTTTATTCGTTTCGACAACAACTTCATTCAAATCTTCAGTCTGTATACCTCTGTCCTCTTTCGTTTTTGTTTCTTTTTTTGTGAGCTCTAATATACTTCTTAAATCTTTGAGTTGGTTAACTGGCATTAAGCGGCTTAACCAGCTTTTTTGTTTCTTCTTTTCTTCATTTTCTTTTTTATTTCTTTCTTCTTCGTTCTTTTCTTTTTGCGTTTTTTTCTTAGCTACTTCGCGTGTTCCCCATGATACAGAATTCATATTACATAGGGAATAAATGATCAATAATAAAAATCCACTAGGAACACACAAAAAGTATAATAGCCCGTAAAAAATGCAGCTAAATTCCCATGGATGAATAACGGCAGCGAAGAGGAAAATAAACACCATTGAGCAAAGGAAAATTACACTCGGATGAAATGGACTCTGCTGAACGGCTGTTATAATGCAACCAACAAATACCACCATCATTATAAATGAATAAATGGCGCTGAATATTTCTGCTGTCGTGATCTGATATTTAGGCTTCACAGTAAAGCATAAGATCGTGTATAAAATAGCTGGCGAAAGAGCTATTGCATAAGATGTAAGAAGATTTATTTGAAAAACAGTTAGATATGCTCCTGCTATCATCATGATTACTGTGGCAGGTCCAATCAAGGTCGACACCATCAAAGCTCCTAAAAGAAAATGGAGGTTAACAAAATACTACACCGAAACCCATAATTATGTCAGTTGAAAATAATAAATCTATGATCCTACATCTCTAGATATTGACGTTAACTTTGTACGGAAACTCAAAATAAAAGTCATAAAATGTATTTGTACAATTCATATTTGTTTTACTAATCTTTACAAATAAAATACCTTTATTCGAATTGCGTATCGTAAACAAGTCTTTTTACGGCTTAAAAGTCTTAAAAGCATTGATCCGTTTTCTATTATGTATTCATTACATAAAACAAAATTTCAGAAAGACGAAATCCAATTAATATATGAAGTACCATGTCTTTTAATGAGACGAAACGTCAGACAACAAATAATAACCAGTCTAAACTTTCGATGGTAAAGCTGAATCTTTATCAACAATAAAACGATAATGTGTCAATGGTACACAGATGATGCCCCGCTTGCATATAACGTAATAAAAAACATAACTAGGGAAATGATTAATTGACACCATCCAAAATCAAACTTGATTAGTGTTTTGTGGTTATAAGCATTGTGTATAAGCTTCATAACATTTGATTGATACAAACTAAAGAAAGAGAACGGAAAGGAAACTTTCAGCATTTTTTTCATTTATGGGGGGTTTACTCTCATATTTAGGCTTCTCCTTTCATGAAGGGCATAACTCCAGAACGGTGAAAGTGACGCCACCCTAATTCAAACTTGAAGTGAGTTTTGTGGTCATAAGGCTTGTGTAAAAGTTTCGATAATATTCGATTGAGGCAAACTAACGGGAACGGAAACCAATTTTTGGACAAACAGACGGACGGACGTATAGAAGGACAAAGGTCAACCTTAATGCCTCCTCCGCTAAGCGGGCGGGTGAATAAAAAGTTACCTTGATAAATCATAAACAGCCAACTGATGTTGTTATTTATAGACACAGTGTTCCTTGCATCTGTTAGTAAATCCATTATATTAGCAATTGTTGATGGCATCCAACGCCTTCTTTGATTAAAGAATTCGCCAAAACCTTCGGGTGCATAAGTATAGGCATCTGAGGCAGCTGCATAATCTACTCTATATCCTTGCTGTAGCAGTAATGTACACAACCAGCGATCCTCACCTTGATAAATCACAAAAAGGTATCAGCATAATGAAAATTACAATTATTAATAATTTTATTTTGATTTTTTTTATCAGTACAATTATTTTGATAATCTATTAAAGGATCAAAGAGTTAACTAACAGTATTTCATATTGGGTTTTAAACATAGAAAAATGCAATAATTAACTTTTATTTAAGACATTTATTATTATTATACTTTACGTTAAAATTGATTGGTTCATACGAGGGAGCCAATTTACTCTATCCCATGGCTCAGCGGGAGATAATTTTTTTGAATGTCACCCTCTCGTGCGAACCAATCAAAAATCGATAATTCAAAAGACAATGCATTGCATTTACATCAATGATTCTAAGACAAAGCTACAGTTTTACGTTTTTTTTATTTATTGTCACTTTGAATAAAAAAAAAACTTCTTGCTTCACTTTTGTTACAACTGTAACGTTGTTTTGTAAACTACTTCATAGATCACTACTTTTAGTTTAAGTTTAAAGGGGAATAATGATAGGACATTCAGTATAATAAATTAAATAACACAAAGCTGAGAGGATGATCGAGCTGATTATTACCCCTCGAAAAAACATTGTCAACCTTGGCTTCGCCGCGGTTAACAATGTTTTCTCGGGGTAATAATACCCTCTCAGCTATGTGTTATTTATATAATGTTACCTTGGTCATACATAAGGTGATGTGAAGCTTCTGTAGGTTTGATAGTATACTTTCTCATGACATTATCATCCATTAAAGCTGAACCACGAAAGAGACTAAAACATCCAGGGCTGCATAATACACAACCAAGAACATGCTCTGTCGATTTTTGTAACCAGTGAGCCACGGCGTACTCAAATTTTTGATACCATACCATTGGACCTTAAACAGTAAAAAATAATCTGAGCCGTTTTTATATCATCAGATAAATTTTCATTATTTCATTACTTATGTTAGTAGTTGATGCAAGGCATAGATTTGTTGGAAATTTTCACAAGGCCTAGTGAATATCTTGTCGGGCATTGAGGTATAGTATCTGATAGGAGGACAACCAGTTCTAATATGCAATCATTGTAAAATATGAACTAGATTCAAATGTAACATTTATAAATGAATATTAACTATAACTGCTGAAATTCAATGCTAAGAGCATTTTTAAAGTAATTTGAGATGTATTCCTGTAAAAAAAACCTAATAAATCATTACTGTTTAAGCCTTACTACTCATGAAAATCATATATTTCTTTTTCCAATACATAAATGTTTGTATGCTACAAATGTATAACGTGTTATTTTTAATTTCAGAATTTGTTTTATAACAACCATCTCATAAACAACATTCGTCCAACAGTAATACTGACAAAAACTCTCTCAAAAATAAAAGATTGACATTTTAAGTTTTGAAAAAGAGACTCGCAGGAATGATAAAACTCATAATTCAACAATAAATTAACAATGCTGTGGCAAAAACAAACCCAGAAAAACTACCAAAGACAGGCAACAGTAACAGACATAAATCATAGGAAATATAAGTCAGAGCAACACGAGCCCCAATGTGATCTCAATTGCTACGGAAGGGGAAGTAGATCCTGCTTCATATGTCACTCTCGTAGTAATGTTCGTGTGACTAAAAACCCCGTTATAAGTCTTGGGAACATATCTTTCGTCATCGAGGAAACTGATATTCCATAACTGTCAACCACCTCGTACGTTAAATTTTCGAAGGGATTTTGTCAACTTCAGCAGCAGAGGAACTCTTTGTTCAAAAGCTTCTTTGTAATACAGTAACTTTCTATCAATGAAATCATGATAGGAAATGTTTGCTCTTGAATATCGTATTAACTGGGCGACGTATGCAGATGCTGCTGGAAGGTTGCCACATATAAATAGAAATACACATGTATAACAAAAAGAAGATGTGGTATGTTTGCAATGAGACAACTCTCTGAAAAAGACCACATGACACTTAAATTAACAACTTTAGGTCACCGTATGAACTTCAACAGTGAGGAAAACCAAAACCGCATAGTAAGCTATAAAAGGCCCCGAAATGACAAATGTAAAACCATTCAAACAAGAAAACGTACGGCCTTGTTTATGTTCAAAAACAAATATGACACACAACAACAAGCGACAATCTCTGAATTACAGGCTCCTGACTTGCGCCAGGCACATACAGAATTTGGCGGCATTAAAATAGTTTGCTGGCGCCAACTCCCCATAACCCGGGACAGCGTTGTAACGGCGCAATACAAGAACTAATTATTATGCAAATTTTTAAACGAAAACAAAATACGAGAAACACAAAAAACCACTCAATTACAGGCTACTGATTTCGGACATGCACAGAAAGTTTATAATTGGGAATATGAAATCATATATTTTGTCGTAAAGCTTTGTTCTCAATCAACCTTCATTGTTAACTTTCTAGATGTTAATCAAGATATGAGACAAACTTAAATGTATCGGTTGTATCTTTTATTACATGTCCGATGCGTTCAACATTGTCACCAAACTGTGAATTATTTAATTAGAGGACATCATCTGTTTAGCGAAACATGAGGTTAAAAGCTTCAGATAGCTTCCTTTTAATCTATAAAAGAGTTTTTGTATGAAGGTCCCTCATATAAGAGCACACAGTTGGTGTACAAGATAATGCTAAAATAGGTTATTAAAAGGCATGTCCTTCAAACGCAACAAATATGTTGTCAATCAAGAAATTGATAATCTTGTCGATTTGAGAAAAACTTTTTGTTTGAATCAGAGTGTTTTTACAAAGTGCTATTTATTCGTCCCTAAGATAAGCTACTCTTATCTACGTTTTATATGAAACAAAGCAGGACCAATTCTTTCTAGATAGATATAAGAAGATGTGGTATGAGTGCCAATGAGACAACTCTCCATCCAAATTAAATGTCTTTTAATTTGGTAGGGGGAATACTTGTGTAAAAAGTAGAAAAGTCAAATGTTTGAATCAATTGTAAGGGGAAACAGTCTTTATTTTTCTAATCACATTAGTCACGTAAATAAATTGGTTGCCAAAATTGGTTTGAAGTATTGATTTTTTCCAAAACTTAATAATAAAGACAAACCCTAAAAATGTGAACAATAACATGAGCAAGTAAAATCGTTTTTTTTTTTTTTACATTTCAAATCTTTGCATGCTATAATTTGTTCGTTTAGTTTTCTAATTAGTTTTTTTAATAGATCGAAGATCTAAGTATCTATTATAAGTTGACATAAAACATATATACAAAAAAGTATGTTTAAATGTGAGAAAAACCATCGTTAAAAATGAGATAACTTAAAATCAGATCTAAAATGCAAATTTGAATTGCTTGCTTTTTAAATCTATTTTAATGTGAACAATCTCCATATGTACACTTTAGAACATTGAACTTCACTTAAATTTTTCAAGCGATGTCAGAGGAGGTTTGCTCAACACAAATATTTTAGACTAATGAATGGCCAAATGTAAAGAACAAAACCAAATGGGCATAAGAACAAGAATATTTACTATTCCTACATTTCCGATAAACACACATTTAACATTGTGATCAAAGCGGTAAAAGTAAGACAGACAAATAACAGTCATCAAAACACTACACCAAAATGTACAAATGAAACATAAAACAAGTGGTGATTGAAGGTTCTCAGGACGGGTATTCAATCTTCCACAATATCAATTTTTTGTCATATTTGATAAAACAACAAATATAGTATGTATTAATGTGCTGACATAAAAAATGATAGCCGGTTTTGTGATTGTAAAGGACGTGATGAAAACGGTATTATATTCATTCTAAAATGAACGAAAATAAACTGCTTAACATTTCGTTGCCTTTCGACATGGAGAAAAAAAAACATATTTTGAGTATATATACCTTGTATACTTCTTAAGCACTGTTTTTACCATTTTTTGAAATATGGTATATTATTTTCTCTTGATATTGACAACAATGAATGTGTTATCTTAACACTTAAAAGCAAGATGGTGGTGGTAATAACTGCATAAGATTCACTAGACGGCTGATTCCTGACCAATATTACATTAATTGCAGATTAGAATGACGAAATAAACCCTTTCACTTATAAAAGATAAATTTATTTTATTTTTTGACATATAGAAACTGATACCGAAGGAAATATTTTGCTTTTAGCGTAATTTTGTTATTTTTGAAAGATATTTTAGACTTCCAAATTCCTATAACTATTGCGCAATTACCATTTTAATGTGTATATGATTTGGGATTACGGTTTACCGTTCTATCATATTCATAGGATTTTTAGAAAACAATAATGATACTTGAACAAGAAAAAAGCGTTTTGTTTAATTCTTGTTAAGTTCAGAAATTTCATTCTTTACCTCGGACCTTGATTTAAGAAGTATTGCACCGTACGAATGATTGACGACAGAGCAAAACAGAAAGCACAGATAATATATATAATATAGCTGTATGTTAGGTCGGTGCATCAGTCATGAACTAATGCTCACTCGCCTAAATATGGATATTTAGTTTAACACAAGCAGTTGCTGCAAGTCAGTGTGCTTCATACATACCCACCTTTACCAATAGGATGTATACGACCGCATGCAGCACCCAATTGTTCATTCGTAACCATTCTATCAACAAGCAATCTTACAGCTTTTGGAGTAAAATCAACATCTCCATCTAAAGCCAATATGAACGTATTTTCAGCCTTCAATAAATAGAGTAGTTCTTTTAATTAAAAATGTTCTATATACCAGTGGGTGTTGCATTACAGATATTAAGAGAACAGTTTTGTTATGTCTTTAAACACAACATTTATTTGGAGTTAGTTTAAGATATATCAGTGTTGTCTTCAAGATATAAATAGCGAAGACATGGTCAATGAAAATTACGTTGATATAATTGTATGTGGATACTGTTATAAACGTAGCATTGGCGAAGAAGCATTTATCTTCCGAAGGAATATTCAGTTTATGTAAAATAGACATAAATAAAATATAGAAAAACGAAGAAATGTCCTTAAAAAGAGCTCAAGCAGGATACACACATTTGTATTGTCTCATATATGTATAACATGGAATTTATCCTACACCATACAATATACAACATGCATTAACAAGATAAAAAAAGAAGCGAAATGTTATCATCTTTTTCTTTACATGCTATTTCCATAGGATCAGCTCACCCGATTCAAGATTTCATCATCCAGAATATTAAAAATTTGGCTTTTTCCAAATTTGCCATCTTTCTTTTCTGTATTCCATGTGATGTGGTCATCAAATTTGTCTTCTTTTAAGAATATCTTTGTTTTTTCCTTAGATGCATTTATTAAGCGATAACCAAGCAGGTAGTACATGTACATTACCTGAAGTATATCAAACATATAGAAAAGTTATTTATGTTTTCTTTTCTATCAAGTGAATTTATCAAATCATATATATTTTTCAATTTTGAAATCATTAAGGCATAAAACACAATCGTCCTGAACATGATTGAAATATTTGCCACTGGACGTTATGCGATCAACAATAAATCAGTCATAAAACACAGGGAAACAAAAAAAAAACGTGGAGTCACATTTAATTAAATAAGGTATAAACCAATTTTACTCTTAAGATACCTTTTAAACTTCATCTTCGTGACACTATGTCTTCAATATAATATTATTATTGAAAGGAACGTTAATAGCAGTGTTATAATACCGAAAATTGCTGTAGAGTGATAACGTGTTGATTTTTGCAAAAAATAGTGAATACGTGTCGGTTTGTTAGATTTTTGCGCTTTTAGCACTATCATTATGTAGTTTTCTTTTTTATAAAATCAGTCATAAAAGTCAACAGCAATTTAGGCAAGATTGACTTTTAAATCTGCATTATTCATTATACTTTACTGCAGTATAGAACATATCATACAAAGGTAAACATATGTATTTGTAATAAGCGATGGAACATATTTCCCAGTTCGAAGACTTTTTTGTTGATATTTTTTACGGATAAATGAGGGATAATCCAATTTGAAATATGATTCACCAGTCATTACAAATCTTATGAATAAAAATCGACAATAAACTAAAGATTATACTGGATACATGGCTGTATGCATATGTTGTCGATTAGATGTCTTTTTGATTATTTTATTTCCTGTTTTGTTGTTTCATTGACGTTTACCCCAAAATCTGTGTAACAATATTAAATATAAACTCTACATTGTAATCTTATATTGGAAGAATTTCTTTTTGCACAAAAAAAATCAATCTATGACTTGGTTACCATTGACTAAAAATGTTATTTTGTAAGGGTTTGATACGTCTTTTTTGCTGCGATTATCATACCTGTGACCACCTTTTTCTGTGTCGTATTTTATTCTTGTCTTTGAGATGAACATACATTAAGTTGTTTCCAGGAAGGAGAAACACTAACTGTGCTCCATAAGGCGATGGAATTATTCTCGGCTTTCTGAGCTCTATGTGTTTCTTATGGATAGCACTACAGCATAAAGTATAATACACTATGGTAAAATCGATTGTAAATTTCAATGAATATTAAGTATTTAAAATTTTCATTATGTTTATACAAAGATGGCTCTGATTTGTACAATTTAAAAAAAGTTATTCCTGTTGTAGGATTAATAATGATGTTAGCATTGAAATTCCAAATAAGGATATATTTGATTTATATTTGTTTAAAGGTGCATTAGCTATGAGATATATAAAAAATCGAAAGTATGATTTTTTTGTTCAATCATTAATGAAAGTGAAATAGTAAAGTAACAATTCGCTTTTAGCAGCCAGTATGGTTCAATTTTTTCAAATTAATCTAAGAAACATTGATGATGAATTATTCACTTACAAGTGAATAATACGACCTCATTGAATCCGTATTCATGTGAACTTCAATTTCACCCCTTACCTAGAGATGGATAACGCATGAAGTGTGCGTGTTTGGTTATTTAAAGGAAAAGAATGTCAACATTGAAAGTGAAACAAAGGTAAATCATTTGATTGACTGATTCGATCCACAAAACATAATTCTTATACAGGTAAAAACGATGGTCAACATATATTTTTAATCTATAATATGAAATTAAACAGACTTAGACAAATCCAATTGCACGAGTTGGCTTTCTATTTATATCTTTATTTATGTTTATATCGCTTATATGGTCATCTGAGGTCTTCGGAGGACAACTCGATAGTTAATTAGATAGCGTCTATACTCAAATACACACGAAACAAAGCAACATATTATCGAGCCCATGCCCTGTAAATTGTTTATTTTAGACTTTTTTATAATTTGGATAAATGTTTTAAATGGTTATAAATCAAATATGAGAATTTGAGACAAATCGATGAACATGAATTTGACAGCTAGTGCCCCTTTAAATGTTTCAAATTTTTGCAATGTTTTTAAAATGGTCTTTAAAGGAAAACGAAGATAATCGAATATCAAAAGTTTAAGTTTCAATTATTTTAACATACTTTGCAGCTTCCTGCATGACATCTGTAAACTCTCTTACAAATTTGTTAGGCACCATTTCTTCTTCATTATCATCTAATTCATAAGCATCATCAAATAGAATGTGAGCTGCAAAACAGATATCAGTGATCCAGTGAATAGATAAACATTCAAATTACAAATCCTATTGTTTTGTTACATAAGAAAATCAAATCTAAATGTACAATACTGTTAATATATATTAATGTAAATCGTTGTTATATCTAGAAAGCACTTGTCCTGTGGCTTATTCCTTAATAAGTTTCACCGATGTGGAGTGTTTTGCTCCTATTTGTTCGGTTTTGTACACAACGAAAGGATGAAGAGACCGAAGGGATATTTGAACTTATTCGTCGAAGACAAACTGACAACGGCGAAAAGCGAAATAAAGTCAAACAACAGTCTTCATAATTCTACATAAAAAAATTGAGCAATACGAACCCAACCAAATAAACCGGGTGTGTTAATCTTTTAATCAAAGTACGTTCATAAGTACTATTAAGTTATAAGGCACCTAGCAATAATTTCTGCATGATCAATTTATATATGATCTTAATTCGGAATCTATATATTAATAAAACTAAAATCAAATAGGTACATTTTACATTTATACATTTCATAAAGAGCAATTTTAATGATATAAAACGATGAATTTTAAAAGACGATTTAAATTATTAACGTCCTACTATGTTGCCAGCATATCAGCGGATAATTGACAGCCTGCTTTCTTTATAGGACAGAAAAAATTGTGTTTCCAGCAATGTTTTGTGTATAATCAACACCATACAACACCGTCTGCACTGTGTCCATCGCTCTAGACCCTCAGTCTAGACCACTCGCCCACCTATACTGAACTAATAATGCAACTATCGGTGGCATAGTGTTACCTTTCCTCGTCAGTAGAATCTAGAGTTGTAACATAGTACATGATATATTAGGTATGAAGAAGATGGAATGATTGCAGATATATATAAAAATATAAAAATTTATAATCATAAAAATAGAATCAACGCCATTAAGTATATCTGTGTCTTGGTATTAATGACAAAAATTCCACATACATAAAAGATAAAATGTTACCTTCGAATTCGTAGTATTCAAATGCTTCCATGTTTACTTCTTCATCTTCATTCAGTGAAATTTCTAAAGCCCTCTGTCTAATAAACTGATCTGTGTCAACTCTGAAAAAGTATATATACATTATATTTGTTATCGTTACGTAAATATGCTTTACGTTTCTCACTTTTTCTAGTTCTGAAATTGAATTCAAACCTCAAGGCGGAAGATACCTTAATGCTATTCTTTAGATGAAGACAAACGCACATCACCAAGGCCAAAAACGAAAAACGACGAAAAGACCAAAAACAGTCTACAAAACAAAACATTTATAGCAAAAAGAGATTCTCCAAAACCATTGGCGATATCTGGTGATCAGAATTGGTATTCTGATCCTGCTTTTCCTGTGGTATCCGATAATTTAGGTACAAATTCGGTAATAAATCTCTTTTGATGTTTCAGATTTGAGAAAAAGAGGACGGAACTGTGGTTACGACAATTGGAATATATCCCTCCTTATCTGTGAATCAGATCTTCTATAACGGTTAACAAATTGCAAGTCGTGATTGTCTCGAAGAGATGTCTTTAAATTTAACACTTGGAAACCTTGGTTTAAAATCTTCCTGGTTAGCAGCAACCCTCTATCAAATAAATTATGTTAGGCAACGCAATGTCGGAAATAGTGTTTCAACTGGAAAATATACACTCCACATGCAGGCGATGCGGCGATATGAAACAGACTTCGCTGTATATGTGGTTTCTGTTTTTAACCTGACAAATTGTATAGATTGCACATACCAATTCAACACAGTTAGAGAATCCACGAAGCCAATATTAATTACCTGGCATATTTGTCAAAACGGTCAGCGTTTTTTCAACAGAATATCACCTTGAATAAATAAACATATCATTTCCTAAATACCTTTATTACCTTGTTGATTACCTTTTATCCACTTTTCAAAAGTAATTTAAAATCTATAAGTTAACCCCCGCCAAACGTTCATGTGCCTGTCTTAAGTCGAGAACAACGCCAGTATGAAAATAGGGAGATGTGGTATGACGGCCAATGAGACAACTTCCCATCACAGTTAAAATGAAATGGATGTAAGCAATTATAGACAACTGTACGGCCTTCAACAATTAGAAAAAACCTATACCGATTATAGCAGGTTCCGACATAAAGAATATGAAACATTTCAATTGAAAAAACTAACAGCTAATTTATAACAAAATAATTTACGAAAAACAGATGTGACATGACATGAACAAACGACCACCACTGAACTACAGACTTCTGACTTGCGACAGACACATATAGAATGTGACGGGATTAAACTTGTTTGAAGGCGCAAACCCTAGCCCTAACATTGGACAGTTGTGTAACAGTACCAGATAAAAACAAACGATAAACATCAATTGAAAAGATATTGATACAAAGCAGACAAACAGCGAACACAGACCGGACGTGGTAGGGTATTTGTACATATTTCAATCAGTATTCATCCAACATCCAATGGCTTGAAGTAAGCCAGTGATTGATTTAGATTTATTATAATTCTTCTAGAGAATTTTGTTTTGATGGTGAATCGTGACAAGCCTCTGTTAAATATATTGACACTTCGGTGACTACATATTTCTAATCAGTTGGCTATTGCAAACGACTGCAGAATGATCTCTAAATGTCTTTAGACGTCACCTCCACATCGCCATTTACACATGTGTACATAACATTTAACCTTACATAATACAGAATAAAGAACATCTAGATTATAACACAATGTTGACTGCTGTACCCCTAATTTTGACAGTTTTACCTATTATGTCTGTTTGTTTTGTTCACACATCGTTGTCAATATAATGGAATGTGATGCGACTGTCATACAAGGTTAAAACCAGGTTTAATCCACCATTTTCTACATAAAGAAAATGCCTGTACCAAGTCAGGAATATGACAGTTGTTATCCATTCGTTTGATGTGTTTGAGCTTTTGATTTTGCCATTTGATTAGGGACTTTCCTTTTTGAATTTCCCTGTTTTCAGAGTTCAACATTTTTGTGATTTTACTTTTTTGTACTAGTCTCTCCAAACTTTCAACAATCAAATATCATTTACCTTACCTATATAATGACTTTAATATCTGCACCATTTCCTGTCGATTTTCATGCCACATGGTTGCACAAGCATATATCATTGGAGGTATCTTTTTTAAAGGTGTTTTATTTTCATCATCAGCAATTCTAGAAAAAAAATATATAGTATATAGAAAAATGGACGAATTAAAAGTTTAAAGGGGATATTTTATAGATTAACAGTTTCTCGCCAGTAAGATTATTTTTGACAGAAATATCTAACATGTTCGGATGTATAGATAGGGAACAAGAGGATTCAGTAATTGGGTTATGAATGAAAAGTTAATCTCAGATTTTGTAATTTGCTCCTCCATCTGAAATCGTCCACTTGAGCACAATTTCGGTAAGCAAATTGATGTATAAAAAGAATGTAGATGTTATCACTTATAAAAGTTGACAATTTAAGTACTTTTTACTGAGCTTTTCCCTTGAAAATTCAGTATTTAATAACAAGCAAACTCGAAATAACTCTGCAGTCAGAGTAAATTGTTAAAACAGCACATATGCAATAAAAATTGTTTATTAAGATAAAAAAAAAACTACCACTCCCAAATTCATGATTTGTGATTTTCGGTCGTTTTTCCCTTTTAACTGATTTAACACTATTGTTGATATTCTTATAATCTTAATTACGTTTTAGAAACTAGTTAAAAAGTTCGTCTATATTTGCATATATATAGCAGGGTTTAAGAACATCAGTTGTTCCACCTGCTAGTCAGCAGTGTTTAAGAACATCAGTTGTTCGACCTGCTTGTCAAATGCGTTTTATTAAAATATACTTTTCCACTTTTTTGGGCTTTTGGAAAATATTGTTTGTGCTGTATTTAGACCCCTCTTCTAAGAAATTTGTTTTGCATGCACGCGTATAAAAATTGCGGTTTTTATCCAACGCAATCATAGGTTTGAACGTTATTTTCAATTTATGCTTGTTTATATTTTTCGTTTTGGCTTGTATTATATTTGCCTTCGGGTTTATATGATCCGCTCATACTATTTCGACTCTTTCAAAATTCAAGAGTCTATCCTAAATTGAGGTAAATTATATGGCTTTCTAAATACCGTTTTGATTCCTAACATCACTGAAGAGACATTAATTGTCGAAATCCGAATATGGTGTACAAATGTTTGAACCTCATGTTTGCGGTAAACCATCTTTTCCGCATGTTTATTGTTTTTTCTTTGGTAATAGATTAATTATAAGATCAATTTTGTAACATCTTGTGATCCGTTTATTTGGCAATCTCCAATGGCAGTCAGCAGGGTTTAAGAACATCAGTTGTTTGACCTGCTATTTTGTTAAAATACACTTTTTCACATTTTTGTTCGTTTGGAAAATGTTGTTTGTGCTGTATTTAGACCCCTCTTCTAAGAAATTTGTTTTGCATGCACACGTATAAAAATTGTTGTTTTTATCCAACTCAATCATAGGTTTGAACTTTGTTTTCAATTTAGGCTTTTGCATATATATATAGATAGTGACAATATTTTAACGAACTGTTATTATTTGATGTGTAATGTAGTCTGCGAATTCTAAATTTTAATACATGGATATATATACATTTCTTCTCAAATTTAGCCCAACAATATCAAATCTGTAAATTTGCGTTAAGCAATTTTGTTCTTCCCTCAGAGGGATTCAAGCTCCTTGCATCTGAGACATCGTGGCAACATCACCAGCACTGTGTCAAGCGCCCTAGACCACTCGACGAAATATGCTATAAAATATAGCTATCGCTATTGGAGTATAACCTTTCCTCGTCGGCTTTTTTTAAGGTTGTAGCACAGTACATGATGTATAGTGGCAAGTAGATGGTATAACTTACAGATCAGTTGTTTTTGTTGAATGAATGATTTTACTTACATTTGTACCAAACTGTCACATCAAATTTCAATTCTATTATATACGTATTAATTTGTGACAACTTTACGACCGACTTTCTCCATTGGCTGACCTGTGGTTATGCAGGACTAACTCCATAATCTATACATAAAGCCCAACAATGTTAGATCTGCAAATTTGCGATAGACAAAAAAAACATTTGATCTGCGAGAAAAGCCATTACTTGACTAACGAAAGCTATTCCATAGAAGTGAGAGGTTAAGCGTTCTATAAAACCAGGTTTAATCCACCATTTTCTGTATAAGGAAATGCCTGTACTAGGTGTAATACCACCAAATCATAGTATGTCACAACCGGTTGCATTCGAAAAAGGTTCGAAAAAAAATATTCCCTTGAATTTGACAGTTGTAGGAAATTAATCCTAAATTTCATTGCAGAAAATATTTCTGGGTCATAAATATATATCTTGGGTGTTTCAAAGCACCATTATATTTTTGTTTTGTGTTTCTATAGAATATTTTGAAAACCTGAGGTTACATGGTTACTAAAGCTTGTACATAGGTGAATAAGAGGTAAAAATTTGATTGGTTAACTTCCAGTGATGGTTATTTTCTTATATGCAATGAAATGTTATGTGAAACTTTGGTCTATAGTACTGGACAGGATAAAACTCTACTTATGCCAAGTATTTCTTTATTTGAAACAAAGATGAATTCTGCACAATTTTTTGAAAAGTACAAATCTAAAGACTAATAGTAGGGGGAAATCAATGGTGGTATTACACCTGCTTAGTCAGTAATACGACAGTTGTTTTCCATTCGATTGATGTGATATGGCGTTTGATTTTGCCATTTGATAAGGGACTTTTCGTATTGAATTATTCTTCGAGTTCGGTATTTTTTTTTATTTTACTTATTTTTTTTATAGCCTAGATAGTCCAGTGGTCAAGGGAGCTGTTGACGGTGCAGGTGGTGTTGCCACAATGTCTCAGATGGAAGGGTTCGAATTCCGTTGAGGGAAGAACAAACGTTTGCCAACGCAAATTTGTGAAACATTTGAAAGATATTTGAAGATCTAACATTGTTGGGCTAATTTTGAGACGAAGTGTATTTTGTAGACGAATATTTTTTCCTCATGTGGTATTAAGATTATCATTATTAGTGTTAAATCAGTAAAAAGTTGAATAACGACCGATCTCCTCGGAGATATATCCCTTTCACACTGTGACTTTTTAATCCGGTTTCGACCCAAATTAGATAAATAAAATTAAATTTAGGTGGTGTAAACGTCAGAACCCGGAGCGAACCCTGGTTACAAATTATCCCGCATTTTAGGTAGTGTTAATGTAGGGCGAACCCCGGTTAATTACCTTGCCTTTTATATGTGAATGTTAAGTGGAGTTAATGAGATGTTGTTGCTATGGTGCTTCGCGACGTTTGCTTACAACATTCGAAATTATAGCAGGCATATCATGAGAGAAACATATAAATCAATATTTAGCATAAACTGCGGTCTAAAAAAGAAAAAAAGAGCAGAATTTAGCTATCTTTGTTGCGGTTGAAAGCATGGTACAGGATTAGCTTTAGTCTTGCTCATGGACTACCTGTTTCAAGTGGGTACCCAAATTGAAACTTTTGACAGATTTACCTTTTAACATGTAACATTGATAGGATTTCTTTCCAATAGGCAAGATAGTAAAATAAATTCAACATGAAATGATTTTCATACATGCTTAAATTTTACATATACGAAACATCTACTTTTTTAATGTTTAATTTTCTAAATTTATTCAATTTTTTAGAACAATTTGAAAGTAAACGAAGCTTTTTCCTCTTTTTTTGTAAATAAAAAATGAATGCTTAAATTGCCTTTTTTTTTAAAGTGGACTTTTTGAGAACGTCACTAGCGATTTTCTGTAAAGTTTTTTTCTTCACTGGCGACTTCATCTGCTGATTTAATGTGACCGTTTTTGTATCTTAAAGAGTATTTAGCTATGTTGAAACCCCCTTGCAAAATGAAAAATTAAGAAAATACGAACTCATCAATCTCAGGCTTTGATAATCTGAAAAATGATGGCAATTTAGGTAATGTGACACGATAAGAAAAGTGGTTGATGTGGATTTCCTCAGAAGCGGTTATGATTGCGGAAAAGAATTTCAGACTTTGAAATAAAACAACTGTGATGCAAAGAATGTAACCAAGTACATTGGACAGATGCAGTTTTGTTGCATACGTTTCTAGTTTTGTTCAGCGTGAACATCCTACAGTGTTAACTTGGGTAATTAATTCGGATTAGTTATCCCTGGTTTGACTTCATGCAGATTCCATTGTGTGAACATGATACAACAGAACAACACCAGAGATACCGACCAAGTTGTATCAATGTAAGTAAATATAGGTCACCGTCAACAATGAGTGAAACCTGTATCGTACAGTCAGCTTTGAAGATGTAGATTGTTGCTTTTGTTCAAAACTATTACACAAATATTATTATTCTCAATAAACAATAGTGAACTCTTTATTTAACTTATAATTTGTCATCTTTTCAATTATTTCTTTTTTTCAGATCCTAAAACAGCCTCCTGGCGAATAATGTAAATCAACTTAATATAGCGCACGCGTATACTGTATCCGTACTTAATCCTTGGATTTTTTTATTTTTTTTGCAATTTGTTAACTTTGTTGGTGTATTCATATCAGAAATGAATTTGGCATATTCACGACCAATTACATTCGCGATATTAATCTAGTCGCAAAAGTTTCATTAATAAATCGCTCTCGATAGTTAGGTTGCTTACAGTATTACCGTAAAAACATTCTTTGTTTGTCTAAATAAGTAATATAAAAATATTATTCCGTTACCTAAATAGTTCAACACCATTTTCTACTTCTTTTCTTATTCGTCTGACATATCTTCGTCTATTCATCAGCAAGTGTTGTTCTAAGAGTATACTGCAGTATAGAGGATTCACAAACAGTCTAGAAAGAATAAAAATGAAAAAGTTGTTGCAAAATAGACTCAATACCTTCATATTAGTCATTTTCGAATAGCTATTTACACCGACAACGATACCTACGCTGACTACAAAAATAGAGTGACCATATGAAAATGTCAAAATATACTGAATGATTAACCTCGTAAAAATATGGTTGCAGAGGTAAAAATATATTCTGCATTTTTTTTTTATTATTTTTAAATTGGAATCGGAGCTAGAAACACCAAATGCTTTCATTAGGTTTGGATTTGTTTAAGTAATGATTGTGATATTACATATTTGAGTTTTTTAATTGTCCATTATTGTGGTTTGATTTAAAATTAGCGAATTGAATTTCAAAACACTAAGGAGACATCCAAAGAACAAATTGTCTGGCATGAGTGATATCTGTGCAAGCTTACTTTATTGTTGACATCAGCTGTTCTCCTAAATAAAGTTTTTTTTTTATTTCTTATGAAGCATGTGTATATAAATTTGTTTAAATCAACAAGTCTTTTGATTTGTAATGAACGTTTCTGTGACTCAAGTAGAAATATGCATTTTAAAATAATAAGGGTTGTAGTGTAAAATCCTCCCCCCCCCCCCCAAAAAAAAACTAAGAAAAAAAAATTGGCAAAAATAAAATAAGACTATTTTTTTTTGTCAGAATAATGTTTTGACAAAATAAATATATGAATACATATTTTTTAAAAGTAATATTTGACAACGCGCAGCAATATAGGTGTTAAAGTGTGAGTGCAAAAGTAAAAGTATGACCTATAGTGTGTACTTTATTATTTAACTTACTTGTCCATCTTTGCTAGTCTGTCTTGATTTGGACTCCATATGTGCCTTGCAATCCAGTATATTGAAACGAATAATATCAAACCCCAAATGAAAAACATGTACGAATTGATTGAACCTTCTTTCTGACAATTTAAACTGTCATTGCTGAATGCTGATAAAATATTGTATTCACAGTCAATCATCGCAATTGCAACAGCAAAAGGGGTCGACAAGAAGCAAGCCAATGAAAAAGAAATCACTTGTAATTTCAACCTGCATGCTGTATATGCCATGTAGTAAGCCCCAAAGGAGCATGTTGTTATACAAATAATTGGTGTAAATTTGAATATTTCATCTAATGTAAGATCCTTCCATCCAGTGACTAAATTGAGATCTGATTCTGGTAAGAAGACACCAATTAAAATTGTGACCCCAATTTTGAGCAATGACGATATTGCTGTAATGAATGGCCGACTTTCTTGTAGGTCGAATTTTATGCTTAAAATTGTTTGCTCAAACTTGTTGAAACATGCAATGTTTCCATTTGTTGTGTTATTCTTCTTCGTTCCATCAGTTAAAGTGTTTTTCTTCGTCGTTTCATCAGGTAGGAAATTTTCCCACCATGATAAGGAACAGAGTAGAAAGCAACACATACTATAAATGGTTTCTTCTGTTGAAACATCCATTTTATAAATACCGAAGTATATAACAAGTGGTATAACTGATATTTGAGCCGCGCATGCCAGTATGTTGATAATCGTGTCAGTGACTCTCATGCAAGCCTTCAGACATTTCTTTGCAGAATCGCCATTAGTAGTTGCACTTGAAGTAAACAAATTAAGAACGCTAGGTACAAAACAAGTTGTATTTAATACCATAATACCATGTACTGCATGCAGTTCTCCCAAAACCTTAAAAACAAGGTATCCTAACCCAACGGAATGCATACACTCAATGGTAAGTACCTGAAAAAAATGTAGCTTTAACAAAGCACATTTTGTTACGGCATATGTATGTAAAGTAGAAGATTTTACAAAAAAAATGCCTTTGGAAATTGAAACAATTTACGAGTTTTTGGTTATCAAGATATTTTTTAGGTGGTGTAAAACATTGTGATGCAAGCTATTTAATACGAATTCCTTGCTTCAAACTGTGTTTACACGAGAATGACTGATGAGTTATATTTCAACGAAACACATGTCTGGCATTCTTTATTATAAGCCTGGTATCATTGATGAGAGTATACGTCAATTTTTTGAAAAAAATTGTACAAATGACTATACTAACTGAAATAGAACAACATGATGTTTTTATCTTCAATGAGGTTTTGTTTTGGTTCAGAATTCCAATACTAACATTCAATTTTAACGTTATATGATACTTCACATTAAAAAATGTACGTATATAATACTAGTACTTGAATTGCTAAGTATCACGTGTACATTGACTCTTTTTTTAAAAATACATCATATTTGTTTTCGTTCATAATTTTGTACATAAATCAGGCCTTAAGTTTTCTCATTTGAATTGTTTTACATTTGTCATTTCATGACCTTTTATAGCTGACTTAGTAGTATGAGTTTTACTCATTATTGAAGGCCGTACGGTGACCTATCGTTGATAATTTTTGTGTCATTTGGTCTCTTGTGGGGAGTTGTCTCATTGACAATTATGGAACATCCTATTTTTTGTTCATAAAAAATAGTTTCAAGTACCTTTTTACCTAAAATTGGTAACTGAACTCTAACATTACAAACAAACACTTGCAGAATTCATAAGCATACCACTTCTTCTAATTTTTATAAAGGATTCATCTTTATTTTTCCCCTTAATGGTTTAAGAGGACTATTTTTATTCCCAGTCCATATACCAAATCTTAAGTGAAAAGTTTTTCCAGTGATATTCTATTAAACTGTGTTCCACATTAAATCATGATAAAAAAAACCTTTTAAAATTGAAATTGATAATGCAATCATTCTCAATGATACTGATAAATGTATACTTCATTAGTTATGATTTATAATGAAGAAGTTTAATTTGAAAATAGAGAAATATCATTTCAAAAAATTAGATAATGTAGAATTTCATGTAACAAACGAAATAAATATGTTAACAATTATAAAGAAAATATGTGTTTTTGAGAGATTTCTGTAAATGTAATTAACGAACTTGCCAACTGCTTTATACTTTTTATGTCTTTAAAAAGTACTGTATGGATTCTGCTTTATATGAGAACAAAACCCAGTCGACCAGTAGAGGTCCTCAATTAATACCAATTTACCAAAAAAAAAAAAGAACAACAGGTAAAAATGGTTATTACCTCTTTAAAACATTTGCCTGTCTCCCTACTTAAAAAAATCAAATGGTCGCCCCTTAAAATAAGAAATATGGGGAAATGGATTGTTACAGTATTTTAACAAATATAATTTCATAATCCACCATTTCACAACTTTCTTTTTGCTTTTCTCTCTCATAAAATTGAAAAGTTTGTTTTGAATACATTTGCAATGTTCATGAAACTGTTTTACGACCAGTTTGATTCAAAATCCGATAAGAATTCAATCAGAATATTTCGACGTCTTTAAATTCAGTGTAGGGGTTTGATGTTGGTACATGTATCTGAACAGACATGTTATTTATATTGTTGTCCTTATTTCTCATTTCTTGTACACTTAAAAACTGCAATAGAAAGATACTGAAGTAAATAAAAGCTACACATAATATAATATATATATTACCACAAACATTGTTTGCATGGCTGGTGACTTGATGTTTCCAAATAATACTCTCAAAAGTGCAAAAACCACTGTCAGTGCATATGGTATACATATTGCAAGGACCAAGAGAAAATGTTTAACATGCGGAAGATCAACGCCTTTAACCTACAAAATAAAAGATCAACACAAATGCCAGTTCTGGACATTTTTTAATATATAAATACGTCCTCAAACTCAAACAACATTGCAAATGATGATTTCAGCGATACAAACAATTGATTTAAATTAAATTAATCATTATGTATTGATATATTTGAACTGAATGATTTATTATAGAAATTTTTTATGTAAACTAGTTTACAACTGTAGAGTTTGTGTAATGACACCAAGCTTGTGTATTTTCTATAAAAGCCGGACTTTCTTTACCTCGTACCGCTTAATGGGATAATGAACAGTTTAACAGATTAAATGAATATGCATTTTGGAGATTTCAATACGTTGTTGTAATCATGTCAACGAGTAGTAAGAATATATTGTAGGATTTGATGTTTCTTAATTGTGGAAATGTTTGTAAGTAGATATAAGAAGATGTGGTATGAGTGCCAATGAGACAACTCTCCATCCAAGACATGTTTTCCTATTGTTTTCTGACAATTCAAAACAATGAACTCTATAAATCCGATACAACTAGTCAGAAACACAATTATGAGCTTGATAGAATATATGATTGAAAGTGAATAAAAATTTTGTTTGAAAAAAAAATCAAAATAAGTTATTATTTACTGTTACAGCTAGCTAAACCTATTACTTGTATGACAGTCGCACAAAATAAATTGACATCAGTGTGTGAGCAAAACAAACAGACATGGTAAAAACATAACAAATTGGGATACAGCAGTAAAGATTGTATTATAATCTTAATTGCTATAAAACAAACAGCCATGACAACAAAGAAAAACAAAATAGCATGTAGATACTCTATAGACGATGCACATACGCAAAAATGAAAGACAAGAATAAAAATAATAAACCTAGCACAATAACACAATGATGGGATGGAGAAATACCGAGCCGTGCCAAAAGGATATTACTAAACATACCCTCATCTCAGTAAAGGATAAATGAAAAAAAAACCACTATAACACGTAACTAAGATGACAAACAACGTCAGTACCTATAATCTATACATCAAGACCATCATTTTTTATTTGTAAAGTTGATCCTGAATATGACTCAACAAGGTCTTGGTATCTTTTAATGATTTGATTAAGAAAAAGGACAAGACGTTCTTTGACATAACTCTGGTTCCTGCAATTTCTGCTCAGACACTGGTGACGTTTAATAATGTCTGTGAAGCAGCTGCAAGCTCTTAAAAACCGAATGAGTTGGGAAATATATCTCGAATATGCAGGTGAAGTTGGTATATGCTACTAAGGTGAAGGGAATTTATGATTTCAAAATTTATGTCGTCTTGTTTGTCATAGAATTTTGGTACTGAGATGACCGCTTATATCAAATTCGATGTATAAGTGCAACATGAGGCAGAGGATGCCGTGTCTGTTATATCTTAAATTTCTAGTTCTGGAGAATATATAAATAGAACCCAATTAGAAATCTTTTATCAATAATAGAAAAAAAAACATCATCAATATATCTGAATGAGAAATTAAATGATCTGGCTTCTTCGATCTTCTTGTTTTTGACAAGTGTCTAAGGAACTCCTACTCTTATGAAAATAAGAAGAGGTCGGCAAGAACAGGCCCACAGTTCTTTCCCATAAAAATTCCGACAATTTTAAAATTCAACAAATATGTTGTCAATAAGCAACTCCCGCATACTGATAACTTGTTCCTCGGTGTAGCATGTTTTACCTTTGTGTTCTCTATCAGCAAAATATGTCCTATGGTATCCTTAAGCAATAAATTTTAATCAACTTTTGAATCCGGAATAAATTAACTCATCATTTTGTACGACAGACACGCGTTTCATTTACTAAGGACTCGTCAGTGAAGTATACAATGCCATTGCAAATCAAAATTTGAAATTGGTAGAAAAACAAAAGTATAATTTCTTACTAAAAGATTACGTAATTTACATTCATAATCAAAATAAACATTTTGTATGTGCCTGACCTAAGTCAGTAGCCTGTAATTCAGTGGCTGTCATTGGTTGCTGTGTTCCATAATTGTTTTTCATTCATTATTTTGTAAATAAACAAGCCGTTAGTTTTCCCGTTTGATTAGTTTCACATTTGTCATTTCGGGGCCATTTATAGCTGACTATGCGTTATGAGCTCTCCTCATTGTTAATTGTTGACCTATAGTTGTTAATTTCTATGTCATTTGGTCTTTTGTGAAGAGTTGTCTGATTAAATATCATACCACATCTTCCTTTTTATATATAAAATATATACTGAATTTCTACAGTTTTATCATACTTTTGTGTCATCCGATTTTCAAAGCTTGATTTATAAAAAATTCGCAAATTATAAGAAATTCCTCATAACACTATAGTAAGACCTAATTCCGATAAGCTGTGCTCACACCTTACCGGAAAGCTCGAACGGACGCCGAACGGATGAAAAAAAAGTTTTCCGTTGACAAAATTTTTATCCGTTGGGAGTCCGTTGGTGTACTGACCAAATAAAGCGGACGCGTAACGAATGTCTAACGGACACACACACGATATGCAACGTACGAGAAACGGAAACGTACCGGACAGAACGGATGTCGAACGTTCATCCAACGGACGAGTACCGCATAAAACGGGCACCTAAAGGAAGCGTACCGAAAAAAAAACGGATGAACAAGATAAGCGGAAAATTAAAGGTGGCAATAATAATACATGTAAATCACATACACGTGACCTTAAAATAATTAAAAAGTTTCCGTGTAATTGGTTTTAGTTTATTCTTCAAAATGCCACCAAAGAGTAGGGGTGGAAAAGGAAGAGGAAAAAAATGTTAGAGAAAAATGCCAATAACGCCGCCTGACCATGATTTAGGAGTCGAGCCAAATACAGAATCTGATGCCACTGAAAACCCACGAGAAGTTGACATTTCTGACGCGAAATTTTCAATTGGCATTAATCCGATTTACATTCTGTACGTTTCTGTTTTATCCGTTGTCCTTCCGTTCATGTCCGTTTCACATCCGTTCATCATCCGTTTTATCCGTTATACGTCCGGTAGATGTCCGTTGGTGAATTGGTCTACCGGGCCTCCAACGGATGTATAACGGACAAGTAACGGATATAAAACGGAAACAAAACGGACGAGTACCGTAAAAAACGGACGCCTACCGGACGTTCAACGAACACTTCATCCGTTGGACGTCCGTTCAAAGTTTTGAACATGCTCAAAATTTTCCACCGGACAGAACGGACGTCAACGGATAAAACGGACGCTGAACGGACATGAACCGGATATGGACGGACGTCTAACAGATAAGAACGGACGTCTATCGGACATGAACGGATTGAAAAAAGTTATCCGTTCGGCGTCCGTTCGCGCCATCCGGTAAGGTGAGAACCTGAAAAGGTAGTTATGAATTAGTAATAAACATTGCACTTGCAATGAAACCAATTCTTGATTATGTATTCATTGTCCAATGATTTATTTAAAGTCGACATTCAATTACTACCCAATCACAAGCTATAGTGAGCTTTTCAAAACGATTGAATAACAAAATATACACACACATACAAAATTCATGAAAACAACACACTTTTATAAACGTACAGTGCATGGTAAGACACCATAGATGACATTTGAAAGTTATAAGCATGGTTTATGCCAAATAAAGTATATCTAAAAAAAAACATAGCTTAAGTTAGAATGATAAGCACAGCAGATAAAGCGACTAAAAAAACTAAACAAATAAAAAATAAAATGAAAAATAAAAAAGCACAGACATAAACATACTATATGCATGCACTGCACTGGCATGAGCTGTTATTTGGATCCCATGTTTAAACCAAATTTTTAAAATTGGTCCAAAAGATGTTTCCATTCGACAATGGCTAGGGAGCTCATTCCAGATTTGTGCAGCATTAAAGCGAAACGATCTCAAAACATACCTGGTAGTTCTGATTCTCGGGAGTACTGCTGTTTACTGGAATCTTAAAATATACTTCTGAATTTTTAATATCAATTAAATCATGAAGATAGCTTGGACATTTTTGTAAGTTATTCAAAACGTTTCTGTTGCAATAGTTTTTATTCGTCTTAATTTTAGAGAAGGTAATTTTGACTATTCTAGCAGTTTTTCGTATGAACTATCATAATCTTCATAGATGAATCTGCGAGCTCTTTCTTTATTTTTTTTTCATTTTATAAGATTTTTTGTTCGCTACAGTAGTGCCAAATCACTGGACTAAATTGGGAAGAATGAATGAGTAGTATGCTGGTAATACGCATAGCTTGTATTAATATATACCTATTCATTTTGGAATATTTTATTGTCTTGATGCCTTTTTACATATTTCAGATATATGACTGTACAAGTTAAAGTTGGAATTTTGTTCTAAGAAGTTCAACATTTTCTTCACACGAAATTTTGGCTTCATTTAAATTTAATGTCAACTTATGATTATTTCTTTTTTTCCCAATGGCTATAGCGAGGAATTTGTCAGTATTAGCCTTCGTTAAATTTACCGAAAACCAGTTTATTAGATTCAAACTATCATTTTCTAAATTTATAGCAACGTGATCTATATCACAATCTTTATATGATATAGTGTTATCATCAGCATAAACATAAATGGTGCTGTTTTGTACAAAATTTAATATGTCATTTATGACGAAATTGAAAAGATTTGGACCAAGAATTGACCCTTGTGATACATCTTTAAACATGCGATCCCATTCAATTTAAGAAGTTACATTTCTGATACGTTGTTTTCTGTTTTCTACATAACTTTGCAAAAATGTTAGAGCATTTTTTGACAGACCATATGCTTCCAATGTTAATAAAAGTAAATCGTGTTGTAAACAATCAAATGCTTAAGATAGATTCATACAGCAATAAATTTGTCTTCGTATAGAGCTTTTTTTCCATTCTTCTATTATCTTAATAAGTGCTGTTTGGCAACCAAAACCTGAGCTAACTGCCGAAAGCAAAGATTTAAAAGTTTATTAAAAACGTCCATTAATTGATCATGTATAACTCTTTCATGATATTGGAAATACATGGTAACACACTTACAGGTCTGTAAATTTCCTAATCTAGCTAGTTATCTCTAAAGAGAATAATTCTTTTTTAAAAGTTGGGATACCCGATAAGCTTAAAGATTATCTGGAAAAAAATCAACTTTCAATTGATTTATTAACTAAAATTTGAATATGATAAGATATAACTGGTTGCGCCATTTTTATAATATTTTGTTGACATATTGTCATATCCAGTAGCTTTTCTAAAATGTAATCTATTTATTTGTTTACTCACAAACTCTTCTGTTACAGGTGTAAAATTCAACTTATTAAAATCAGTTTTAATTCCTTCAATTTTATCATACCTTGGTGATTTCTGTCTATTCTTATGTTTTTGTCTCCTAGATCTTTAGCTACATTTATGAAAAGTTTATTGAAAATTTCTTTACGATCACTGAGAATGTTTTCATTTTCTTATAAAATTATGTTATTGTTTGATTTAATGCTTTTATTGGATGAAAATGGTTTAATAGTGCAATAAAATGTTGATGATGTTGGACCAGCAGTTCATTCATAAAAACATGTTTTAATTGAGCTTTATTAATTTTTTGTAACAATATTTCTCTGTCTTATGTACAACCTCCCAATTGGTATCACTTCTGTTTTGAAGAAAACATTATCCTTCTCTTACATTTACTTGAAATTGACATGAATTTAGTCATCAGTCATTACGTAATTATTGATAAACATTACAGTTTGTGTTCTTTAATATGTATCAAAGAACAATAGCTATAACTCATAGTCCTATGCATAATCGTTAATACCTGTGTGGTATACTCTGTTCCATTTTCAGAAATGGTAATGTTATTCCTCTCCTCGTTCTCGTTATTCACTATAAGCATCAAACTAATCTTCTGGACCACAAGAGAACAAAGCACAAGAAGAAATAAAAGCCCATAAATAATCATTTTTATGACTCTCAGGCTACTTCTCTCATGAACATCTTTAGATTTCTTTTCTCTGGGTATATTGTTGAATATATCCCAAAACCTAAAACAATCATATTATAAAGTAATACCCTTTCTTATTTTCTATCTCCACAAATTTGTGAACGCATAATTACATTATTGTTTTGTGTGTCAATGAATATACCTTTTAACCCTCAAATTATATGGTACTAATAGTAGGATTATTTGGTTGCCAACTCTGCCGGAACATCCGATATCACCCCCAGTTTTTGATGTTTTTTTTTGTTCAGTCTTTGGTTTTATTTATGTTATATTTTGAATAGTGATTGTCTTTTCTTCGTTTTTCATTAATTGCTATGGCGTTGTAAGTTTGTAATATCCCTTTGGTATCGTATGCATTTTTTTGGCATGAATAAAACCAGATGAAATCAGAATACTGGGATTTAAATAACGTTATAAGTAATAGCAATTAAGGATGTACTAAGTCAGGTTTATGAACTTTTGTCAGATGTTCGGACGTCTTGGTTTTTATCCTATGATACAGGGTAAAATATTCAACCCCATAACACCAATTGTTCTTTCTCATAAGACTTCAATTGCTCATGATACAAATGCAAATATAATGTAAAAGTCTGAGATAACCTTTGACCGTTTTTTTTTTAATTAAATATCTCGAGCTCCATAACCTATTTATTGATTCTTAGCTTTTTTTGTTCCTTAACTAATACTCTTCTGACTTAAAGTATCAATTTCAAATTCTAGATTTTTAAAAAATCTTTTTCTATTTATATCAGGACGTACGGTTTTTCTTTTCTTTTAGACTCTTTTTTCTTCTGTTCCTCTGTATCAACAGTATTTAGATCGATATGATGATCAGGATAAGTTGATCCTGTACCAATGTCTTGTCTTGTTATCGAAGGGAATTTGTTATCTTCGTTTATACGTTTACGTAATTGTTGGGGGTCAGTTTCACCATGGCGGCTCGTTTGACTGGACGCTCTATTGTGCCACATTTCTTTAGTAGTGTATCCATCTTTGTGAGTTGGGGTGTCAGAGGGTGGGTCTTCAAATATTGTCTGCGGTACCTTATGAATGCCCAACAATGATTATTATTAAATTGATTCATACAGATAAATTTTTATAAAGAATGTAGATCATCAGCTGCGAGTCACAGTATATTTGTATTTGTCGAGTGAGCGCAGCGAATGAGTTTATAAAGGCTTTCTATTATGTCGAACAGCTTATACTTTACAATATAAAATGCAGACAACCAGATAATCGATTTATCGGATAGTTTGTGTGTATTTGCATGATAGAAACAAGGTTTCCTTGTTTCACCAGCAAACAGGAAGATGACTTGATAAGTTCGGGTCAAACTCATTAACGTCGGTTCATTCATTAAGATGACAGTGATATATCCGGGTCAAAGTTATTAAGGCCAGGTCAAGGTATTTGACGTCACAAAGTCGTAATATGCTATTTTATGAAAAGCTGAGCATAGCAATACAGACACAGTTGGAACACCTATAAAGCCTTATATTGTCGGGGAAACTTTATATTTTGAGTTATACAGTTCTTAATTTGTTTCGAAATTGATTCCAGCATTTAAGTGAAGCACAATCAGGAAAATAATCTTCATATCCTATCGTATACTAGGTTCCATACAATGGGAATTCATTTTTTATTATTTCGAAACAGTTAATTCTTTTCCCTTTAAGTATGAAAAAAATAAGTATTTATCGTTTTTTTTTAATGATTGGGTCTGGAACTTTATATTAGTATATTTATTGTACAAAAAAGTATGCCAGACAATCTAAATAATTAATCAACTCTGTTTAAAATTTTAAGATTGCGTTATTAATTTACGCCATTTATACAGCCACTTCACGTAATAGTCTACTGTCATGGTCGATCTTTTAAAAAGCCCATAAAATTTTATATTTCATTAAAGCATTTATTGCAAAGTTTCTAATAAACAAAACAAAAATTCTTGTCAGAAATTAATTTTGCAAACGAATTAACCTTATGTTTTGATTTTGAATGAATTTCTTTGAAATTCTGACGTAATAGGATACTGTCCTGGTAGATTTTTCTACCTTTAAAAGACGAACAAAATATAAGTTTATGATTTTAAGAATAATTTTTCCCCTAAATCGTGTATAGAAAAAATTATCCCATACAGTTGTTTGTTTGAAATTATTTCAAATATAAGTAAACTTTTCTCTACAATTTCTGCCATTTTACTGTTGATAGTTAACCAGCTTGGCAGATTTGTTTGACTATTTTATTGCATATTTTCGATTTCCCTGGTTTTATTACACTGTTTAAATGACACTTTATTGAGAAAAACAAAAGTTACGGTTAAAAACGTATCAAAAATAACTGTCCTGTTTTTATCCTTCCTGTTTTTAGACCTTCTCAATAAAAATCTGTCTGATTTTTTCCTTGTATTTGAAACACAGAATAAATATTTTTGATCTTCTCATACATGTACCTACCGTTTCTTCTTTCTCGTCGTTCTTTTTCTTTTTTTCAAACTCTGCTTTTCTTTTCATTTCTTTTAACAATGTTCTTGCTTTCATACCTAACCATATTTTGTGCAAAATTCCGGACAATTTTTCGCGATGGTATAACTGCTTTTCAAGAAATAAGTGAACTGTTTCTCTCATGAAAACCTGCAATATAAGTATTTATTTAGAACTCCAATAATAACATGTTGAAAATATGTATAAAAAAGTAAACTTAAGTATTTCATAGTAATATATCATTTTTGGACGATAATTAGGTACAATATTCACAAGTAATGTATAAGATTTTAAATATTGAACAGTCAAACAAGTCAAAAGACAAAATTGATTAAATAATCGCAGATTGAGCATCTTGACGGGTTAAATAGGCATTTAGACAAAAAAAATGTGATTTCAGCGATGCATACAGAAGGACATGATAGCGTGTGGTCAAAATTTCAAAAAACAACTTTTGAAATTTTACGGTGAAATATTCTTGGTCAAGTGACTTACTCTATGTTTTCCAATTTTGCACTCTTTTTTCAGGTCATCCGGTATAACTTTGTCTAATAACAGTTTGATGATCGGGCCAGGATTTTGCGGATTTTCATTAGAAAACTCACAATGAAGGACAAAAAATCTGAAATGTATTTTTTATTCATCATGAATTCGTAGTAATACAAGCAGTTTATGTTGTATCATTGAAAGTTCGATTACTTGATTGTTTATTCCAAATACCTATTATAATATTTCGGTTTATGAATTCTTTAATCATTGTTAATTTGATATTGCTTGATGTGTTAACATTCTCAAATACAAATAATTCATTGAAAAAATCGATTTGTTTAAATATTTTGAAGACACATAGCCATTAACAAATATGATTTACCTGTTGTAAAAGTCCATGTGTGTTTTTCTGATTGGATAGCCATGTTTTCTTATTTTAGCTATTTCAGTTATACCATTATATAACAGTTGTTTTTTCACATATTGGACATTGAAATTATCTCCTTGTTTCTGTTCGTTTGGCTTGATACACCTATAAATTTAATACATAAACTTTCATTTCACAAAGTTAAACATACACGTAGTTCTAGAAAAGCACAGACATGATATTACATTGCATATACAAGAAAGTTTAACATTCGGTCACGAATTACGGTTTTTTCTCTTTGGTTGTATTTGGCTCGCAAACAACTTTTTATTGCCCATTATTATTACACCTCTAGCTCTGTTAAAAATACCGAACTCCAAGGAAATTTCAAAACGAAAAGTTCCTTGTCAAACGGCAAAGCAAAAGCTCAAACACTTCAAAAAGTAAAATCACCAAAATACTGAATTAAGGGAAGAACTGCATACCCTATATGTATCCGATATCCGCATTATTGGCATTAAAAAAAAAAACTCCATCATAAGAATTCCCGAATTTACAGTATCATGTTTCTGATTATATCTAACAAAGACGACAACAAGTGACAACAAGTGACATTTATTGTCGAAATGCCAATCTGGTGCAGTTAATTGGTACCGTTGATATTATAGGCATTTGATGTGTCTGGCGCAAATACAAAATTTCAATCCTGATATCTATTGTGAGTTTATTTGCATAGTTTACTTCAAATTTAACATGTTTTCAACGTTTTCAATCTTAATCAAATATTGGACAAACGGACGGAATAACAGAAAGACTAACCAAAATATCGAACAGATATAATGGACTTATGCCTCCGTGTGCGGGATTTTCTCGCTGCATTGAAGACCCATTGGTGGCCTTCGGCTGTTGTCTTCTCTATGGTCGGGTTGTTGTCTCTTTGACACATTCCCCATTTCCATTCTCAATTTTATTATACTTCTATTTATTTATCGTAGGCGTAATTATATATTTTTAAATACCTGACAAAATGCGACTCTGCATGTTTCATTTTCGACAAAAGTTTGTCCATTGATTCCTGAAAAAAATATTGTACTGTAACGTAACGTCATGGCGTTGTATGTCGTTAAACGTTTATTGATGACGTTTTACACTACCAACTAGATAACAGATTGGTCATAATACATTAAAACCGGTGAACATATGATTAAAACAAAACTTTTTGTATCAACAAAACATATTTTTTAAAAGAAAAATCTATAGTTTTAAAATTTAAAATTTGATTATTTTAGGACAGAATAAAGAACATTTTTTGCTGATTATATATGCTTTCTATACTAATGTTAACTAATTTCAATCAATACTGGTCAGAAACTAAAAAGATAAATGCTCTATTGTTTAAATTTTAGTAATAGTTCAACAAGCCAAAGTTGTATTGTAAATAAATGTCCATATAACTTTCTGGCGAAATGGCAAACACCGAATTCCAGTGACTTATTTTACAATGTATAGTTAGGACAAATCAAAGCAACGACACACTTGTATGAACGAACAAATGAAGACATATACGAACATTATAAACAAATGTGTACACGTGTAAGGATTTGTGTCGTTAGGAATCATAGCAAGTCATTGAGAGACAATAGGGACTCTTAATGTTGTCATTTTAGCGGTATATAGCCACAAAACCAGGTTCAACCCACCATTTTTCTTTAAATGTCCTGTACCAAATCAGGAATATGGCAGTTGTTATCTAAAAGTTCGTTTCTATGAATGTTGCATTGTTATTTGTATTTTTGTTGCACTTCTGTGTTCTGTTATTTCGTTGTTTTCCTCGTATAGTTGATGTGTTTCCCTCGGTTTTAGTTTGTAACCTGGATTTGTTTTCTCTCAATCGATTTATGACTTTTGAACAGCGGTATACTACTGTTGCCTTTATTTAAAGGTATTTATATTCAGTTTCAATGTAAAGTAAAGGTATCGCACAATAGGAGAAAAAACGTACATATATTTGTGCGTGAAAAATGTGACAAGTTGACGATATGGGCACCTTATTTTAGAAGGTATATAAGAGAATTTTAGAATATTTGAAGTGATATACCAGTAATATTTAATGGAGTTAACGTTTATTAACTGGTTTTTTTTGTATATATATTATTCCCGATATATCCCAACATTGCACACTGACTTACCCTAAAGTATGAAATGACAGTTTTGTGTTTATTTACGTTGTATCTGCGTGTTTCTGGGACACTCCAGGAAAATCTGAAAAGAAACTGATATACATATATGTGGTATGAGTGCCAATGAGACAACTCTCCATACAAGTCCCAATTTGTAAAAGTAATCCATTATAGGTCAAAGTACGGCCTTCAACACGAATCCTTGGCTCACACCGAAAAGCAAGCTTAATTTGTAAAATTAATAATATATATATTTACCAGCATACGGATTCTATTTGACTTTTCTTTATATATATATATATATAAACTAGTCTAAATTGAAAACAACGTTCAAACCTATGATTGCGTTGGATAAAAACCGCAATTTTCATACGTGTGCATGTAAAACAAATTTCTTGGTAGAGGGGTCTAAATACAGCACAAACAACATTTTTCCAAAAGACCAAAAGAGTGAAAAAGTATATTTCAACAAAATGCATTTGACTAACAGGTCGAACAACGGATGTTTTTAAACCCTGCTGACTGCCATTGGCGATTGCCAAATAAATTGATCACCAGATTTAACAAAATGGATCTTAATATTAATTTAATACCAAACAGAAAACAATTAACTTGCGGAAAGATGGTATTCCACAAACTTGAGGTGCAAACATTTGTACACCATATTGGATTTCGACAATTAATGTCTCTTCAGTGATGTTAGGGATCGAAACGGTATTTGGAAGGCCATATAATTTACCTCAATTTAGGGTAGACTCTTGAATTTTAAAGAGTCGAAATAGGATGAACGGATCATATAAACCCTAAGGAAAATATAATACAAGCCCAAACGAAAAAATATAAACTAATCTAAATTGAAAACAACGTTCAAACCTATGATTGCGTTGGATAAAAACCGCAATTTTCATACGTGTGCATGTAAAACAAATTTCTTGGTAGAGGGGTCTAAATACAGCACAAACAACATTTTTCCAAAAGACCAAAAGAGTGAAAAAGTATATTTCAACAAAACGCATTTGACTAACAGGTCGAACAACGGATGTTCTTAAACCCTGCTGACTGTCATTGGCGATTGCCAAATAAATTGATCACCAGATTTAACAAAATGGATCTTAATATTAATTTAATACCAAACAGAAAACAATTAACTTGCGGAAAGATGGTATTCCACAAACTTGAGGTGCAAAAATTTGTACTCCATATCCGGATTTCGACAATTAATGTCTCTTCAGTGATGTTAGGGATCGAAACGGTATTTGGAAGGCCATATAATTTACCTCAATTTAGGGTAGACTCTTGAATTTTAAAGAGTCGAAATAAGATGAACGGATCATATAGACCCTAAGGAAAATATAATACAAGCCCAAACGAAAAAATATAAACTAGTCTAAATTGAAAACAACGTTCAAACCTATGATTGCGTTGGATAAAAACTGCAATTTTCATACGTGTGCATGTAAAACAAATTTCTTGGTAGAGGGGTCTAAATACAGCACAAACAACATTTTTCCAAAAGACCAAAAGAGTGAAAAAGTATATTTCAACAAAACGCATTTGACTAACAGGTCGAACAACGGATGTTCTTAAACCCTGCTGACTGCCATTGGCGATTGCCAAATAAATTGATCACCAGATTTAACAAAATGGATCTTAATATTAATTTAATACCAAACAGAAAACAATTAACTTGCGGAAAGATGGTATTCCACAAACTTGAGGTGCAAACATTTGTACACCATATCCGGATTTCGACAATTAATGTCTCTTCAGTGATGTTAGGGATCGAAACGGTATTTGGAAGGCCATATAATTTACCTCAATTTAGGGTAGACTCTTGAATTTTAAAGAGTCGAAATAGGATGAACGGATCATATAAACCCTAAGGAAAATATAATACAAGCCCAAACGAAAAAAATATAAACTAGTCTAAATTGAAAACAACGTTCAAACCTATGATTGCGTTGGATAAAAACCGCAATTTTCATACGTGTGCATGTAAAACAAATTTCTTGGTAGAGGGGTCTAAATACAGCACAAACAACATTTTTCCAAAAGACCAAAAGAGTGAAAAAGTATATTTCAACAAAACGCATTTGACTAACAGGTCGAACAAC